ACCTTTTCCCGAATTGCTTCAAGCCGAATCATGAAATGCGTTGGTATCCGTTCCGTCCAATTATGGAGGCACTTTGATACTACATATTAACGCCGGTGCTCGGTAAATTTGAGTTGATGGCTTTGTTTCTATCGACGAGCCTTTATTAACAAAGGGAGCTCAAGTACGCAGTAGTGACCCTCCTGAATAGCGAAGCATGCCATAAGGTCACATGCCATAAGGTCACACGGGAACCACTTCGCTTTGATTTAGAAGCATTCAGCTTCAAGTTTTCGTTCGTCTTCCATAGGGACATGTAAAATTACCTTGAGTAACGTCATGAATGGAGAATCGGCTTACCTGATAAACAATCATCGCGATCAGGGCGATACCCAAAAGAATGCAGAGCGCCAACAGAATCCATGTTACCGTCATCCAGGCAGACACCCCTGTGATCCTGAAACAATAACCAGGCAGTTTGATTCCAATCTCAGGAAGAATAATCTAAACAGGTTTCCCTCGAATGCTCTTTATGTAGAATATTCCTTGCTCTTTCCTTCGTCTTGGATCACAAAAATTTAAGTTTTGTATCTAGCAGTTTATCAGTTTCGCGAAGATTCGATTTGTGAGACAGGGTCAACCCTACGTCTTACTAGTAACAACGGGAGGGTCGTACTTGGTTGAGTTTGGAGGAGGGGGGTCGTACGGTTGAGTTTGTTTAGGAGGGGGGGATCGTATCCGTTTCACTCGCTTGTAATCACATGTGAGTTGAGGTGTAACTAAAAGTTTTTATGGAGTAGGTAGGCTGGGTGAGTTGAGGGGCGCGCAGGAAAAAATTTGCCGTTTCAGCGCGCGTATATACCCCCCCCCGCTCGACGGCATTTTTGGAGGAAAAAGTGGGCGGAGTTTGGTGGGTTGAGTGGTATCAGAATTAAATACTATAGAGACGATGATGGTGGTCGAGGTGTGGAAAAGGGGGTCGTATCAAATCCACCTTGGGGGAGGAGGGGGGTCGTAAAAAATTTTCAAAAAGTAACAACGATAGGACCGACCCCTGTTGGTGAGAGTGAGTCATGGCAGCGAAATCAGTACAATACAGCCCTTCGTCCACAAAAATAGATACCACTGAGGGTTTTCTATACATGATTCAATAATCTCTAGTTGATATTGCAGTAGATAGAAAGCAGCAGCAACAAGAATTCCTTACTCGTCCAATACTGTAGCTTTTGGCACGGCTGTAACTTTGCTTTGTTGCTCGGCTCCAGCTTGCGACAAGGCCTCTTTCAGTGCAGTCTGAATGGTAAGAAAAATCGAAATATCGTTGATGATATTTTTAGGTTATTCAAAGACTCCATAAAATCTGCGAAATACCTTGTCCAAAGTATTCTGAAGCTTATCTCCAATTTCCATGACCACAGATGCGGTGACGCTTTCTTTCAGTGCGCTCTAGAAACGTAAAAGATTAAGAAGTCTAATAAAATCAAACATTCATCAACTGATGGGGTAAGAAAAAGATATTCTCGCAATACCCACCTGCACCGTTCCCTTCAGCTCGTTCTGCTTTTCCATGAACTGCGCGTATTTCTGTTTGAGCTCTTCTTCCAAAGCGTCAAGGTCGTCTTTTTTGGCCTGCAAATACACCACATCCTACGCTACCATTTTGCATTATGAAATAAAAGAAATCTATGAGTTTTCTCAGCGCTATTGAAAAGATAATCAATTCAAGGCGGGGGTGGTCGGGTGGTTAAGAGTGTAGGCCCATGCATATGTGCACCTCTGGGAGTCGCAAGCTCGATGCTTGCAAAAATTGCAAAAATGGTTCTAGTACCAGCGTCAGGCCCAGGTTGACAGGCCGGCTGATGAAGACCCCAGTCACACAAAACATGTCTAAAGTCGAAAAAGGAATCAGTGATAAAGCTAGGACGTCACCGAACCCCCGCCCGAGTTCTGTGGTCAGTATGCGAGGGCTACCGAGGAGTGAACGACCTCGCGCAGGATTATTCAAGTTCTATACCTCTGAGAAACACATTCGAAAGGAACCAAGGCCAGGGACGGTGTTGAACTCTATCACAGTGGAAGAGACACTAGGCGGAACGGTCTGTCATAGCGGTACGGAGTCCCTTAAGGATTACGTCTCTGCTGTAAAGAGGTCAGTATCGAGTCATGGCTGTGAGGGCTTGCGGTGTGTACTCGGTACTCTTCGAGTACACACCGCAAGCCGGTTGCACGAAAGTGCGGAGGACGAGTTCTATCTGAGCCTGGACGAAGCCATAAGATCGGTTCCGGAAGGCGATTACCTGACCATAGCAGGTGATCTGAATGGCCACGTCGGCAGTGACAGGAGCCTGGAAAGGGTGCACGGAGGTAGAGGATAGGAGTGAGGAACGCTGAGGGAGAGAGGGTTCTGGACCTGGCTACGGCCCACGATCTGGCAATCTGCAGCACGTTCTTCGCGAAAAGGGAGACTCAGAAGGTAACCTACAGCAGTGGAGGGAGACAAACGGAAATCGACCATGTGCTGGTAAGAAGATCATCCCTCAAGAACTGTGAAGGATCAAGGTACTCCCTGGCGAAGAACTGGCTTCCCAGCACAGCCCTCTCTTGCAGACATTACCATAAGCACCCAAGGAAGACTAGGATACGAATCGACAGGAAAATCGGAATTGGTGGAAAATGCACAGAACGTGGAAGAAAGATCTTACAAAAAGGGTGTTGGAAAGTGAACTCCAAAACCCCCATGGATCAGTCCTGCAGACTTGGAGCAGGCCGCTGAGGTCATCATGCAATGCGTAAAAGAGGATTTGTGTGAAAAGCGAGAAGGTCTGGGGACAAGGTAGGGATCTGAAACAGGGAAGTCCACTGAATTGTACAGCGGAGAAAGGAGGCGTACAAGCTTTGCCAGAAAGCACGGGGGGAAGCAGAACGCAGAGAAGTTCGTCTTCAGGCTGGCTAAAGCCCGGCATCGGGCTACTCAAGATATCAGGGTGGTGAAGAGTGTGAAGAGCAGCAACGGCGCCATCCTGAGGAAGCCAGCCGAAGTCAAGAGGAGGTGGGAAGAGTACTACAGTGCGCTCTGAACGAGGAGTTCCCCCACAAAGACAGCCTGCAAACAGAGGACAATGGCCAACCCTTCAGAGGATGAGGTTCGTCGAGGAGTAGGAGAGATGAAGGTTGGGAAGGCGGTGTCCAGATGGGTGCCAATCGAGGCATGGAAGGCACTTGGGGAGTATGGAATAAGATGGCTCACCCGATCACGCTAGGGATAGAAATGGATAGTCTGAGCGCTTTGTGCTCCAAGGCAGGAGCATAAATGAACGAGACGAAACAGTATACCGAACGAGAGACTACACGTAGCTTTTTCTGTTAACGTGCGTGGTTACTTGAGGTATACTAGGATGAGTTCTAGGCCCCAAGTGACCTCTCCATGCGTCTTGAGTCGAGATAGTGGCAATATTTCTAGTGTTGCCGACCTATCGACTACATCTGTTCATGGAAATGTTCAATGAGACAGTCAAAGAGTGTGGACTGAGTAATGTTTCAAGCCCCGTGGCACATCTCGAGAGGAGTCGTGAACGATAGCCAGTCAACTACTAGAGTACACTATTTTACTCACTGAAAGATCGTTTTTAATCTGGTTGATACGATTTTCGAACTCATCACGGCGTTGTTGGCGTGTCTGATTGCGTGCAGCCTGCTGTTGTCTGATGATTTCCTTGATTTCATTCAAAGTAGATCTCATACTTTCGAGCTTCTAAAAAAAGGGTATTTTATTTGCATCACTACCGTTGACATTCTTACCTCCTTTCGTCGTTCTTTCTGAGCATTGCTGGAGTCGTTAAGCTTTCCTTGAATGTCTTGAAATTTCTCCAGTGCCTTCTGCCAGGCTTGTCGGAACTGCTAAAAAAATGAAGAATAACTAGCCGCCATTTTCATTAGCTCCTACATTACTACCCACCTCCTTTTCCTTTTCCTTTTCTGCTGCTTTCTGTTCCTTGTTCTTGTCATATGCTTGCTTGAGTTGGTTCAGCAAATCGCGGATTTTCTGAAACAGAGCCAATTAACGAATTTATTAAATTGCTAGGTAATTTGTGTTCGCATGTTTTGAATTATTAATAGTTTGAGCTGCGACACACATAGTCATAGCGGGTTCCTCACGATCCTAGCAGATAAACTGGATAACTTGTCGGCACTGATCAACCGCTGCGTGTTGTTTTATGATTTCCATTCAACTTTGTAGGTTCTTCGCATGTTTTGAATACAGACATTCCCATGATAAGAGTTACAGGAGACATCCATTTTTGTATTTGAGGTTTCCTTCCGCGCAAACCTGGCATTATGTAGAAGACGCAGTTGACAGCTAGTTGATTAGAGCGAAATTCTAAAGTAGCGGTAAGCATCTGTTGAGCAGCGTTGGGTTGCAGTGAGAGAAAGGAGCGAAGGGTCGTATTCGTCTTCTCTGCAGTTGAATAGATCGTATTCCATAAGATTGGCAGTCATTGCATCGTTGTGAAAGTGTCTGCTCAAATATCTCTTAGTATAGCCGGTGATGGATGCATTCAGATCTGATAGTCGAATTCAGTGGGGGAGCGTTGTGTCTGAAGCGGCGTTGTGTTTCGATGTTCGGAGCGAACTCGCAGTAGTTGTCGGGAAGTAAGAGGGTGAGGTCCCTCTCGGTTTAAACGCTGAGTGCGAAACGTCACACCTTTTCTCTGTGTGTGTAATGTTGGGCATGGTAACGAGGTGACCATGGCCGTGGTGAGTGTGAGAGTAGTTGCTCTGGAGATGTGAACGGCACAGACGACTGGGTCGGCATGGGTACGGGTGTAACGTGCGCGCTGGCTTGTGGGGATGCGTAAGGATTAGGGCGATAAGCTCGTGAGAAGCCGGTTGAGGATCTTTTCCTAGTCTCTACTCACCCTTGTCATGATACAGCACGATGGAGAAGCATGGGAGCTATGAGTAAGGGCGAGAGTCAACGATGCGCATGAGATGGTGCTATCGCTGCTGCTCACGACACGTGGTCGATGTTCGCTGAGTGTGCATCGAATTGGCTGGCTGTGGCATTATGCTCGTTGCGCAGCGGATTCGCTTAAGATTTTGCAAAGTTGAGACAGCCAAAGCGTTGGTGAAACGGATCTTCAAGGTTGCCGGGGGGCGCATACGTCCACACAACGAGATGCACGTACGAATACTGGCTGCTGCATTTAAATTATTCAGCGAGGTGGCCGGGCCGATTAGTTGTGGGTGGGTTTCACTGTTGTTCCGCCTTTGCGCAGGGTCCTCCGATCACACGGAAAGAAATGGAGTGATAATGTTGCACTTGCGAATGAGAGTGGCGACACCAACGTTTTGCTGTCTGCCGTCACGACGCATGCCGCTTTGTCGAAGAGGCAAGGCCAACCCTAATCGGATTAATACAGAATATGGAGCTGGAATCACTGCGTTCTGAGTGGTTAGCCATCAGTGCTGGCAGGAAACACCGATGGTTGTTCAAAAATGAATCGCAGATGGTGGGATGGTCGCCACCGATGCACAAGAGGAAAATAAAACATAGCTAGCGCGGAAAAAAAAATCTGAAAATTCTGGATAGGCACCTCTTGGGAGCGAGTGGCGGACGATGAAGAACATCAGTGAATGCTGATGGAGATCGAGATGCTAGATGATAACATGTAACACCGGGGACTGCATTAGAGCGAATGCGTTCGCGAGTGCTGGGTGCGGCAGAGCAACACCCTGCGTTGCGCAGTTCGCAACGGCACGTTCGAGAGATCCTCAACGCACGCTGTATGGGCGGAGACACAGACGGCTCGAGCATGCGAGTGTGAATGTTCGCGCGAGAGAACGTGTCTAATCGGGCGGAACTGCGCAACGTGACCGTTGACTGCGCCAAGCGCTTAGGTGGGTGACTCTGGGGGTGGGCGTTCAGCAGCGCGTCTGCGATGATTAAAGCCGACACGCCTTGCGCGTGGTTCAAGCCGTTGAGGATAGCAAATCTTTGTTGACCTCCACGAATAGATCTGCCCTAACCATGAAAGACGTTCCTCCATTGGTCTAATCGCGTATGCGCCTTTGAAAGACATGTCATGCGCTAACGTGTTCTGCTTTGTCAACATCGTCCACAACGAAACGTTTTGTGTAAAACACCTTTTTAATACTATCACCTTTTTTTCTTCTTCTATTTTAGTTTCTTTTGCGACTTCCCATGCGGCTTTCGTTTGATTTATGCCGCGTACGAGATTCTTCCACTCTTCCATGGCCTGTTTCTTGTCAGTGTACTCCTGCGCTTTGTAAGCCTAAAATCAAAAGTGGCAATGTCAACAAGGTAGTGATTGCACATTATATTTCCAACTACACTTGTGTGTAAAACTCAAGGAAGGAGGTAGGTAAGATAAAGTTCTAATTTAGATGGAATTTATATGAAAGAATGTGTGTCGCCATGTTGTCCAAAATCTTCCAGTTATGCCCAGAATTGACATCAATTTGGTAAGGTCGACTAGAATGTGGAGTCAAATGGAACTGGGTCGCACAACACGAAAGGTTCTCCGGGGAACAGGAAAGCTTGAGTGTTATTAATCAGAGGGCATTTATTGAGCTCTGTGAACCTTGAAGGACGAGTCAAGAGCTCGATACTAGGGATGAGAGGGATCGTGTTTTTCTCAGATAGGAGCAATCCGCTGTCTGTGGAGTATCGTATGTATGGACGCTACATCTGTGGGCCCCTTTGTCCGGATACTAGCCGCGTGTTGGCTATCGCAGACTTCGCAATGCTATTCTTCTCCAATGTCGCTGTCTCTTCAAAAGGGAGTCCGCACTTCACCCTTCTGTCCGCGATTTCATATGGATGATGTGCCAACTCAGCTCCTAGAATCAGCCCAAAGAACACTGTGGAGAGATGATTTGGATCGGGTGTATTTTGCGGAGCACCTCCCCTTTGTACAATGTACTGTCCCAGCATCATATCAAAATTGCAGATATATACGACTAAATAACGCGCTTACCATGGAATCCGTTGTTAGGGGCAGATCCGTTTGGCTCAGGGTAGGGCAAGTTAGCCGTTGCCGTCGGTAGCTCACAACAGGCTATTGAGGGTGAAAACTTCTGCCTGTATGGAAGGGTTTCGATAGCGCGGTGGCGCTGTGTGATCACTGGCCTGCTGAATAATGGCTTTTGCGCGTTTCTGGGATGGACTGTCTGTCAGCAAGACCCCGGGCTGCTGTCATAACCAAGAGTTCTTCTCAAGCAGGGGCGCACGGCTTTTGGTGTCGAAGTAAGGTCTGGCACGCGGCAAATTGCGCGGCGAGCGGCGCGGCGATCCGGACGCTTCGCAGGAACTCAATACGTCAAAGCGTGTGAAGATTGCGGATAAAATCTGCAAGGTTCTGCAATTCGAAATACGTCTGAACGCCTGGAATTTTGAGGACAGTGGTGGTTGTAACAGTAGGAAGAGATGAGAAGGAACTAGCGTAGTGCTGTTCGGCAATCAGGAGCGCTCATGTCGTTGGGGGCATGTTTCATTGGGGGGAGGGGAGTGAGCCAATTACTGTGTTTGGAACCGAGCCTTAGGGAGGAGAAGGGATTCTGGGGTAATTTGTTTCTCTCTGGCGTTCCTCCCCTCTGCTGGGAGTTCGTTTCGAATGTTTCTCCTTGGGACATGAACGCCTCGATCAGCAGAACATATATAGTTGACATTAAATACCTCAACAAAAACACCCAAATTTATTGACTCTTGTTTGCTTTGATGGTAGTAGTGGCATTTCCATGAAGGTCCCCACTCATATCCTTGCGCTGAAATCTCCTCACCGATACTGCTGCTTCAAATATCCGCGAGCGGAAACATTTCAAACAGCAGAATCATGCGGAGTTTATCCGCAATCTGCACACGGTTTGACGTGTTGAATTCTACCCGAAGCACCCGCGAAGCCTTGTCTCGTCCAGATCGCCGCGCGTGCCGCCGCGCAACTTGCCGCGTGCCAGTCCGGACGAGCCCAAAGTCCCGAACCCCACTCCAAGCATAACTAAAATTTAATCGGGCTGTGTTACTTAGCAGTGTCTCGCGAAAGTTACTTTCTCTTTAAGTTTTGTACACAAGTGTATGGAATGGTGGGAGTCAGTGATAAAGGTCTAGAAAACTCGACCTCTTCAATTTCACGAAGTTTATCAAGCTTCCCGCTCAGAGCGTCTTTGAGCTGTTGTGCGGTGTTCTTTACGTAATCAGAAATTTGATTTTTCAATTGGCCTTTTTTGTTTCTGAAAATCGAGAAGACGAAGAATAAGCATACCTTCAATCACAAAACTGCCAGAACTGGAACGCCTCAAATCACTTACTTGGCTTCCGCTAAGTCGTTTTTGATTTCTTCTTCTAGAGCTCGATCCACATTCAATACTGACTGGAAGTTAGAAAACTTTTTTAACGTGTTCCACGTGCACGGGCTGGAATGTCTTCAAGGCTATAGGCCCTATCAACCTTTGCCCTTGACCTGGGCTGAACTCAAACCTGGATTATTGATGTTGCATCGTCTGGCTTGTGCTAGCGCAGTTGCTAATAATGTGGCAAAGAAAAGCAGTGGTGTTATATGTCGATTACTGAAAACATCTCGCCACTTGTCTATTTTGATTTCTCAGCAATTAACGTTTATAAAACGAAGTAAGGGCAAACCAATAAACACTAAGGACGAAATGAATAAAAGAACGTGTCTGTAAGAGCCTGCACGAGCTGAGAACGAGTAAAGGTACAGGAGCATTACTGGTTGGTTATACTCTACTAATTAAGCATTATATTAACACGATGACGACCATGTGACATGACGTCATGTCTCAATTTCGCACGGAGTAAACCAGCTTTGCTTGGTTTATTTGGAGTTTTTCTTGATTCAAAAGCCATCCATGTAATTATTAGGTCTGAAAAGTAATTTGTTCATCACTGACTGGACTCATTGAAGGATTAATGACTACTTATGGTAAAATACGGAAAAAGTTGGCAAAATACAAGCGCAGCGTGCACCGTGGTGTTAATTACGATAACTTGGTTTCAAGGTTTAGGCATAATAAATGCGTGTTCAGTAGTGTATATACGATCCAGCATCCAGTTGGTCACAAAACTGATATCCTTAAAGAGAGCGGGGTCCAATTTAGGCAGCCCCACATTATCGATTCGCAGAGATAAAGAAAACAGTACAACGCGATCTAGCATTTTTTCCGAAATGCCAATCCATAAACGAAAAATTTTCTTAGACTACTTTCCGAATTGATTGACCGTTTCACCCTTGATATATATTATACTCGAGAAAATTTTTCCTGTTTCAACCGTGGTGCATATCCGTACCAATATCGAAGACGACATGTCTTTTGTGGCGATGCCGCGCGGTCTCCGTCTCTCTGTTAGAAGAAAAGGGCCCAGATTTGGGCTGTCCACGATGCCGGACTCAGCAATCGACAGACTGCCAGACAAAGCAGCAGTCACTGCGTGGTTTGCTCTTACCTCAGAGATCCTGAAGCTTAAGGCGACGGAGGAGCGAGGACATCAACGCAGTTGTTTCGACAAGAACTGAAGCGAGAAATTTTGCGAAGAAAGCCTTGGAGCAGCACCAGCAGCGTCAACCAGATCCGTGCAGTGCAGCTGTCTGTATTGAAAACGACCGTATGGAGGCCCGTCATCATCCAGCGGCAACATTGTGAGAGAAAGTTATGAGGAAGACGTGCTTGGGAGCTAACTGCTGGGGACACAAGCTGGAGCTCGCATTTGTTTCCTGCCGAATGGACTCAGAAGAGTACCAGCAAGTTCTGGAATCCAACTTATTGCCGTTCCTGAGTCGCAGGCGACGACAAAGGTTGGTTCTTCCAGCAGGACAATGCAAGTGTTCCATGCTAGCAGGTCAACTTCCCCATGGTTGCAGTGACAGAAAGTTGATGTTTTGAAGTGGCCTGCGTGCAGTCCTGATCTGAACCCAATGGAGAACCTTTGGGGAATAATTGTGCGACGAGTCTACGCCAACAGCAGGCAGTTTTCCACCATCGACGAGCTGCGAACTGCGGTCATGGATGCGTGGGGAATCATCGACCTGTACTGAGCGACACCTAAGCACAATGGAGTATGACCGAATTGGACCTCATGGGGAGCTCTCATCCAAAACAGGAGCTCCCCACCAATTCTTCATTCTTCGTCCTTCTTCTCCCTAGCGTTAGTCCCGCGCAGTCGCAGGGTCCGCTGTTTTTGTCAGCCGTCGCCACTTTGCTCTGTCCAGGGCATCTTCCATCGTGGCCGCGACCTCACCTAGGTCCTTCTTGATTACGTCTTTCCACCTTTTCTTCGGGGCTCCTCGCGGTCGCTTGCCTTGTACTTCGAAGTCCATCGCTGTTCTTATCGGATGGTCCTGTGGCCTCCTTAGCACATGCCCATACCATCGCAGACGCTGTTCCCGTACCTTCAGCTGGACAGGGGCAGTCTGCATGACCGCTCTGACATCTTCGTTTCTAACTCTGTCCAGCCGCGTCCAGCCGCAGGCCCACCTCAGCATCCTCATCTCAGCGGAGTGAAGCTGCCTTTCGTGGTTCTTGTTCAGAGGCCAGCACTCGCTGCCGTATAGCATCGTAGGCCTGACTACTGTTCGGTACACCTTCCCTTTGAGCGTTCTGGAGCATCTTCGATCACAGAGGATTCCAGTGGACTCCCTCCATTTCATCCATGCTGTGTTGACCCGAGCCTTCACCGCCTGATCCACACTGCCATCAGCTGCCAGATCGCTCCCAAGGTAGCGGAAGTCCTCCACTCTTTCGATGGTCTCACCATGGCCGTCTACGATCGGCTCTGCACCCTCTTCGGAGCTCAGGAACTTGGTCTTCTTTGACATTCAGCCGTAGCCCGCCTTCTGCCAGGACCTTCTGCCATTGCTGCACCTTGGCCTGTAGTTCCTCTCTACTATCCGCTATCAGGGCGATGTCGTCAGCGTAGAGGATGGTCTTCAGTGGTCCTTCCCATGAGGCCCTTCACACTATTAACCAATCCAGGCCGTATCCAGGAGACCGTTTCCTAGACCTCATAGAACAGGAAGGGGCTCAGAGCTGACCCTTGATGCACCCCAACCGTGATGTTTATCTCCTTTGTTAGGCCGTGAGGGGTGCGTATGGCTGCTTTGGCTCCTTCGTACATGTCCTTCACCAGAGAGATCAGGTGTTCTGGCACGTTTCGTTCCCTGAGCGACCTCCACAGCACTGCTCGCGGTAGCCGGTCGAACGCCTTCTCCAGGTCGAGGAAGGC